CCGTCGCATCCGTTAAGTGAATCACTGCAGTTGTTAAGTTAGTAACGTTGTTAAGTGAATCTGGCTTTCCCATTGACTTTGCTTGCCAGAAGGTCACAAAAGGCGATCACACGACCCTGGAGCATTGAAACTGCAATAAATATGAGTCCGTTGCTAAAAATCTGAATTTTGATCATGGCAATGCTGCAACGGTCATAAGTATGAAAAATGATCATAAGTCGGAGACTTCCGGTGGGACGGCGCGCCGATGGCGGCTCTTTTCGGAGCCGTCCGCTTGGGAAGGCGTCAGAGCCAGCATGAACAGCGGTCAGCAGCTGTTCAGCGGCTTGGAACCTTGTGCCCCGGGAGAAGGGGTCGAGGTGAGTACTCCTGGATAGGAGTAGAGTCCCAAAAGCTCTCCCTTTATCTCGGGAGAGCGANTATCCCGGCCTGAAGCCCGACTGGAGCGGGTCTAGATAGACTGTTTCCTCCAGGCGTCGGGGGAACTGCTGCGCAACCACACTCTCAACAACCTTCACCACAAAGCGAAGGTTGGAGACCGGACGATAGTTAGCTAATGCATCTGGGTCCAGGGAAGGCTTCTTAAGGAGGGGCCTCACCACCGCCTCCTTCAAGGCTACGGGGAAGACACCCTCCCGTAAAGAAGCGTTTATAATTCCCTGGAGCCAGGCTCGTGTACCCTCCCGGGCAGCCAGTACTAGCCAGGAGGGGCACGGATCCAGTAAACATGTGGTTGCATTCAGCCTCCCCAGAATCCTGTCCACATCCTCAGGAGCCACAGAGTCAAACTCCTCCCATATAACAGTCTCAAGACCTGCTCCTGTCTCCTCCCCCGGGGCCATCCAGTCAGAGTCAAGACCTTCTCGAATCCGAGCGACTTTGTCATACAGATATTGAGCAAAATCCTCGGCCCTCCCCTCCAGGGGATCCTCTCCCCCCCTCAACTGAAGGAGAGAGCGGGTCACCCTGAAGAGGGTGGCCGGGCGATTATCTGATGACGCAATGAGGGTGGAGTAGTAGTTAGACCTCGCCACCCTCATTGCCACTAGGTAGGATCTAACCTGTATCCTTGCAACCTGTATCCTTGCCTGTGCTCGATCGGATTCGGTTCGGCTCGCCCTCCAACTGCTCTCTAGGCGTCTTTTCCGGCGCTTCATCTCTCTCAGCTCCTCGGTAAACCAGGGAGCCAGTTGAGATCTGTGCCGGGTCAGAGGCCGCAAAGGCACGACTCGGTCCAATGCTGCGGCAGCGGCCACCTCCCAGGCCGCCGCCAGATTTTCAACCGAATCGTGAACTAGGTCCTCAGGATATGGCCCAAGCTCCATCAGGAACCTCTCTGGGTCCATCAGGGGCCTGGGGTGGAACCATCTAAGCGGTTCCTCCTCCCTGCGGCGGGGGGGGGCGGTCCGGAAGTCCATCCTGAGGAGTGAATGATCTGACCATGACAGGGGCTCTACAACTACCTCCCCCATTTCCAGATCATTCTGCCACTGGCCAGAGACAAAAATTAGATCTAGTGTGTGTCCCCCCGTGTGAGTTGGGGCATGAACTAATTGGGTCAAGTCCAAGGCCGTCATGGAGGCCAAGAACTCC